CTGATTCGGTTCCTACGGTAAACAACATCATAAAAATCCACGACGTTTAAATCTCTTTCATCTCGCCTATTAAATAAAATGGGCAATTTGAGATTTCCACGCTGAAAATTCCGTCTCCAAGGCTGAGAAAGTTATCATGAGCTGAAATCTATCTCACGATATCAATTGGTATATTTCCACCGATTTTGGAAAAAGTTGGATTCCTTGTTGACAAATTTATAATGAATGATTATTGAACTGTTCCAAATTCCTTACATCTCAAAACGAAACTTTTCGCACTCCAAAAGGAGTGTTTGTCAGAATGGGAATTGTGTTTTGTGTAATGTGAGAAGTGCTTTTTATCGTCTTCCCCCTGCGTCCATGTGGAAGGAAAAGGAGGAATCGGGGCCCCCCTGTGATTCATGAAGAATCGTGAAGGAGGGGTCGAAGGTTCGTGCATGAACGGACAAGCGCTCCCCTCCGACCCATGCTCCTGCAACATCCTTCGAATTCCCCTCTTAAGACAAAATAGATAAACTATTCGAAAACAGGCGAATTGTGTATTTTGTGGTACAATTTCAACGACCTGTACTCGAATGAAATTGTGAAAAAATGTGTTAAACCATGAAAACCAGTTCGTCAGAATAAAATGTGACTACAAAGTCTCTCGAAATCGAAAAACTACTCCGTTCAAGTACTTCACCAAAAAAATTACATGCTTTGTAGTTCCGTTTATAACAATTAGACTCTTCCAAATCACTGTCGCTTCTCTTGAATTCGGATGTATTTTGAAGGTTTGTAAGTTGGCGAACTGATCGACACTGGAGATGGCGTGAAGCCGAAACACGTTCTAGCGAAACTTAAACAAATGAGATTGTACCGACCCAGTAATTTTATAAGACATGTGAAACATTCGATATAAGGTAAATCATACAAAAAAATTTATGACAAATAGGTTATGAAAAGTTTAGTCATCCTTGCCCCCCTCCTGTGTTTATATTCTCGCTATTTTTCATTAAGATATCACATCTTGCAGATCCCAAATTACAATTTCTCTTAATTTTGTGAAAAAAGTGAAGATAAAAATGTATCTTATAGGAAAAGAATGACTATTCAGTTTTTCTAGTCTGATCCTTCCTCGCCACGATGATCCGCTCATTTTCGCTATTTTGTTGGAGATCCCAAATTACAATTTCTCTTAATATGAGAAAACGTTGTTAAATACTGAAAAAATTTTTTGAAAAAATGAAGATAAAAATGTATCTTGTAGGAAAAGAATGACTATTCAATTTTTCTAGTCTGATCCTTCCTCGCCACGATGATCACCTTATTTTCGCCATTTTTCTTGAAGATCTCAAATTATAATTTCTTTCAGATTTTGTGAAAACGTTGATAAAGACTAAATAAAAGTTTTGAAAAAGTGAAGATAAAAATGTAATGTAAAAAAACAATGGTCCGCTTATTCTCGCCATTTTGTACTCAGATATCACAATTGTTCTTAAATTCGTAAGAAGATGATGAACTATGTTTTTTTTTATGAACTATGTTAAAGACTTAATAAAAGCATCGGTATTGTGAGAATAAGAGTGTTTCTTGTAGAAAGAAAATGGCTATTCAGTTTTATTACAGTTTGATCCTTCCTGGCCACAATGGTCCGCTTATTCTCGCTATTTTTCTTGAAGATCCCAAATTAAAATTTCTCTTAATTTGATGAAAACGTTGTTAAAGACTGAATAAAAGTTTTGAAAAAGTGAAGATAAAAATGTAATGTAAAAAAAAACAATGGTCCGCTTATTCTCGCCATTTTGTACTCAGGTATCACAATTGTTCTTAAATTCGTAAGAAGATGATAAACGATGTTAAAGACTTAATAAAAGCATCGGAACTGTGAGAATAAGAGTGTATCTTGCAGAAAAAGAATGGCTATTCAGTTTTTTTAGTTTGATCCTTCCTGGCCGCAATGGTCCGCTTATTCTCGCTATTTTTCTTGGAGATCCCAAATTAAAATTTCTCTTAATTTGGTGAAAACGTTGTTAAAGACTGAATACATGTTTTGAAAAAGTGAAGATAAAAATGTAATGTAAAAAAATGGTCCGCTCATTCTCGCTATTTTTCATTCAGATATCACATCTTGCAGATTCCAAATAACAATTTTTCTTAATTTTGTAAAAACGTTATTAAAGACTTAATCAAAGTATTGGAAAAGTGAAGATAAAAGTGTATCTTGTTGAAAAAGAATGGCCATTCAGTTTTTCTATAGTTTGATCCTTCCTGGTCACAATGGTCCGCTTGTTCTCGCTATTTTTCATTCAAATATCTCAACTTCTCTTTAAAGCTTAACGAATTATGTTAAAGCCTTAACAATTGCATCGGAAATGTCAAATTAAAAAAGTGTATTATAGAAAAAGTTTTATTTTTTCTTCAGTTTCATCGTTTCTGGCCGCGGCGGTCCGTTTATTCTCGCTATATTGCATTCAAATATCGCAAATTTCTTTTAAATTCTTAAAAACTATTTTTATTATTTAATAAAAGCATCGGAAATAGAAATTAAAAAGGAATCTTGTAGGAAAAGTGTGAAGAATCTTTTTGTTTTCAACAATTCGATCATTCCTTGTGACAGCGGTCCGCTTATTCTCGCTGTGTCATGTGCAGATATCGTAACTTGCAAATCTCCAATGACAACTCCTCTCGAATTCTTTAAAACGTTGTTGAACATTTAATAAAAGCGTCGTGTTAATAAAAACATTTAATGTAAATATAAAAATGTATAATGTAGGAAAAGCATGGCAATTCAGTGTTTATTCTTGTTGGTCGCTCCTGGTCACTCTGGTCCGCCTAATCTCGCTAAACGAGAATGTTTCATTCTATAATATATTAATAAATAATAAATTCACTTGAATTTAAAATTCCATTTCGTTATAATTACTATTTAAGAATGAATTCTGTCGTCTTTTTTGATAATCAAGATTTTTTTACAGTGTGTTTTAAGCATTGGGTGTTGTCATGAAACAGAATGTTTGTATAAACAAACTGGGCTTATTTTTTCTTTTTAGTCTTTGATGTATTTTCAATACAAAACTGTGGAAGAAAACCTTAGAATTATTACAGAATTTGCTGCATACGTAGATTGGCGTTACATTAATAGAAAGACAATTTCCAAGCCCTAAAAATTGTTCAATTTAAACCAAAAAGTATCGTAACAGGGAAAAACTATTTCTTTTTAATCAAGGTACAACGTCGATCAGAAAAATATTCAGGTCGTTATTCTTTTTTAAAATATTGTGTATATTCAGAACCCATGTGCACTATCTTTCACGTCATTATCATTGAAAGACGCGTTCATTTCAATCGGAACAAAGGATTCTCAAATAAGGAAAACTATTACGCCAGATAGCCAAGCAGCCGTCATAGCATTGAATTAGAACATCGACAATGCGAAGTCCTGATTTGCAAGGACAAAACATAGACATTTTACGATCATCCTGGACCAAGACTATGACAAAAAGAAGAGTGATATTTTGGTTTTATGTGTGAAATTCCGATTTATACATTTCAGAGATTAAAAACAACATTTATTTGCATTTGTTTGGGAAAAAATCATTTTCACATATGAGAATAATAATAAAAGACTCATAGGATAATAATTTCATCTTCAATTTACAGAATTCTTCAAGTCGCGGCTACCTGTGAAGGATGCAAGCAAGGGAATACTTCTGGGCTGGTGAAGCAGGAATGGGGAAGGATACACGAATAAAACATGGCAAATACTACGAAGATCTCTAGTCAAGCTCACATTCGCCGACACCATTACACGACTCGACTGGCGGATTAACCAATTAGCTCTATATTCAGTTTTAATTGAGATATTTTTTTGCGAGGTTCTCAACAGCAGAGTCATGTTCACCTCAGGGTGCCGTTTTTTTTCAAAAGCCCATTTATAAGTATGTCGGGTTCGAATGAAGGGCCGCTGGATTCGAACCCGGGTGCTTTACCTTACAGTGATCTGCGCCGTGTCAACGCTTAAACCGTTGCGGCCACCAACGCCCCTCCAATCGAGATTATTGATTTAGAAGAAAATAGGGACCCTGAGGTTTTTGTGTAATTTATAATAAATTACCGACAGGACTCGAGAATCACCAAGTCGGGGTTTTAGCAGTCCGGGGTCATACCTTGGTCTTATAAGACGAGCCACGGATGATGATAGCCCATGGAGAACAACCTCGATGGCTCGACGTAACCAGCCAGTACCACCAAATTTCCTAATTATCTTAGGAGTCTTTTACTATCATTCTCATAAGTGAACATTTTTCTTTTCCAAAGAAATTCAGATAAATATTGTTTCAATACCTCTAAAACATACGAGGACTTCCAACTGATGATGATCTAATTCAGTGCTATGACGGCTGCTTGAAGAAGTGATAGGTTCAACTCCGCACAGTGTGTGTGTGTGTGTGTGTGTGTGTGTGTGTGTGTGTGTGTGTGTGTGTGTGTGTGTGTGTGTGTGTGTGTGTGGGCGCGCGCGCTTTTCATCTTTGATGTTGGTATTTATACTAAGAATTTCGTCTGATTTTAATGATATGACCGTATTGAAAATGTGATACTGTTCTTTTGTAAGAAGCATAAAGTACGGCTGTGTTTTCTGAGGTCCCTTTTATACCTTCCTAATCGGTCAGATTGAATTTCTACAGAATAAATTTTACCGATTTTGTTTCTTATAAATTTAAGGAACACAGGGATCCTCATATTTATGAAATAATTCTAAGGGCACTTTACATAGATTATGTCTTGTGTGTGATTTTGTCTTTTTGTATAAGTTGTTAAATAATGTAATAGATTGTTCCTACTTAATTAATCCAGTTTATTTATCCAGTTACGGATTATGTGGGCTTCTGCCTGTTAATAAATAAATAAATTTTTAATGAAGTCGTTTATTTGTTTCAAAACTGGATACCGGTAGAGAGAGAGAGAGAGAGAGAGAGAGACCTCCAATTTCCATCCATCGTCTTCACTTGACCTTTTCCCGTCAGGTCGCCAGTCGAGTCGCGGCTGTGAAGCCGTAACGGGGAATTCTTCATCCCGTGGTGAAGCTCGTCGGGAATTCTTCATTTCGCGGGAAAATTTACTTCATAAGTTGGCCAGCCTGGGTTCATTCATGCCTCGCCCCTTCCACAAACGGCGCCGTGCACGACGACGACGGAGCCCAGGCCAGGCTAGCAGAACGAAACAAAATGGCTTATGTGAATGTGGCAGAATGGAAAACGGATCAAGTGACCGACTGGCTCAAAGGTTCGTACACGATTTACAATAGCGGATAATCCGCATTTATATCCGCGATCGTGCTCAGACGATCTACGTTCGAGTCGAGACCCAGGACGAAACTTCCTCGGCCGATTAATTCCGTCCCATTTCGACTTGGGTTGACAAGTTGCTCATTTCTTGAACTGGTTTCTCAAAATTTTCTACCACAAACTACAACTACAAGTATTTTTTATCCTAAAGAAAAAGCAAGAAGGGTTTTAACAACAAAAATTATTTTCCAGCTAAAAACTATAATTTTTTAGGCGATTTTCTTCTAAGCAGAATAAGTTTCTGCCAATTTTTCGTTGTCTTGGCAACTGAAATTTTCCTCCTGCTTCCACACCTTCTAAACTTATTGGTTCATTTAAAAAAAATATATATATAAAACAAATACGACGCATTTTCACCTAGTGTCTAAGCCAAAAACAATATCAAAACAACAAAAATAACAGTTTTTAATTTTTTAAACCGTTCATGAAAAGCGAATAAACACATTCATTCTCATTCACATGCACACTCACATTTTATTCTGATTGTCAGGTATCAAAAATGCCTAATGTTGTTTTTTCTTTTTTTTTTTCATTTGAGAACAACTTTAAACAAAAACCGCATATCATTTTTTTTTTCAAATATTATCCACTAATATCTTTATAAATATTACACATAAGAAGAATTTTATGAGTTTTAAACCCTGGCAGGATAAGGTGAATGAACGTTCAATTCAGTATTTCAAGGCACAAGTTCTACTAATAAACATACAAACAATACTAACTTACGATACAGTTTTGAATGATAATTTACTAAATCGGTTTTTAAACTGTGTCAAACCCTTATAAATAATATTTTAAAATACCTGGGGTCCTTTTGTTTTGTAGCTGTCTTGCAATTGCATGCTCTCATCTTTTGTGAATTCATTTTGACATTCGTGTATCATAGAACGTCATTTAAAATTAACACTATCTTACATTTAATAATTCAATTAAATAAAATCAAATTACAGTCAGCTCATGGCTTGGGCTGTGTAGAAAAACAAACATTTTAAAATAATTTATTGATTTTATTGACTGCCTATGTGTGATAAAACTTGAAACATTATTTTAATAATCACATAGCATATAGAGTCAACAATAATTGATCATTTTTTATGCGCAATATCTCCTTTTGGTTGAACAGCATTACTCATATGCACAATGCTGTTTCCAACTTTCAGAAATAAAACAGTTCACAAATAATAAAAAAATTTGATTTGAAAACAAACAGCATTTATCAAACCATATAAAACAACTAAAGAAAATAATGAATAATAAATACAGTGTGCCTTAGGTTATGTACAAAATTTACATTCCTTGAAAACAAACATATAAACATTAATTAATTGGCTTGAAAAATAATCATTCTACGAGGTCTTTAATTTGTTTATGATCGATTTAATTTTAATCTAATATGAAAAAATTTTTAAAGTAATTTCGAACATTTGTAAACTGTAATTTTAAAGGTCTTGTTATTCCTTAATATATAGTAAATAATTTAACACATATTCCTCTATGATGCATGTTTTATATGTTAAAATATGATTTTCTTAAAGACCTTGCATTCTATTTTTTTCCTAAGTGATTTGGAACAGGTGTAAACTGTAATTTTAAAAGTCTTAATATTAGTAAATAATTTAATACATATTCCTCTATGATGAATGTTTCATATGTTAAAGTATGATTTTCTTAAAGTCCTTGCAGTATATTTTTTTCTAAGTGATTTGGAACTTGTGTAAACTGTAATTTTAAAAGTCTTAATAAATAGTAAATAATTTAACACATATTCCTCTATGGTGCATGTTTTATATGTTAAAATATGATTTTCTTAAAGTCCTTGCACTTTATTTATTTTGGTAAGTAGGCATAATAATAAACAATAAATAAAAACAGAAAGAAAAGTTTTATTTGGAATCATAGTAAATACGAAAATAATACAATTTCATAACTTCTAGAAAAAAAGTAGTATATAGTATTAACATCATTGTTATTTTTTAATTGATAGAAGTAATGTTTTATTTTATATTATCACAGTAGCTTCTTTTTTATTTAAATAGAATATTCTGGGTAAAAATAGCAAGCATCAGATGGGTTGTCTGACTCGTGTTTGCCAAGGTTCAAAACCAGGCATAGCTCTTGAAATTTTCATTGAAATTAATATGAAAAACGTACTTTGAAGTTGTTCTGATACCTCGTTCACGACACCCAACTAGCCGGATGTCAAGCCTCCTTCAAAGTCAGGACTTAATATTTTCTTAGCTCGGTGAAATAGTTTTAGTTTTATGGAATGTGTTTAATTTAAGAACGTACAACAAGTTTAATGGTGACCATGAAAAATCTTGTTAAAAAAACTAATGAAAATTCGGAATAATGCTGCCAATATGCCTTAAATTGATTACAAATTTTTCATTTGTTGAAAACAAGCCCGTAAATATTTGCAATTTATGTATTTGATAGTACTTTGGAACATGGGGTCAACCGTAATTTTAAAGGTCATAAATGGAAATCGGTTAAGGCCTTGAAATTCCTTAATAAATACTAAATAATTCAACTTTTTTTTTCAATATTGCATTTTTTAAATGTTAAATGATTTTATTTTATTTTTTGTTTGTTTAATTGAAAATATAAACTTACGAAGTTTCATAAACCTTAGAAAACAACAAGTAGTTAGTAGGTATATAGTATTGACGTTAAGATTATTTTTAATTAATAGCAAGTAATGTTTCATTTTGTAATGTCGTCACAGCAGATTATTATTTTTGTAATAGAACGTCCTAGGTAAAAATATTTAGCATCGGGGGGTCTGCCTCTCTAAAGGTTCGGGTTCGAATCTCGCCATAGCATATGAAATTTTAACTTATTGGATGTTAAATGTAATTTAAAATAACTAGTGAAAATTCGGAATAATACTTCTAGTATGCCTTCGATAGTGTACAAATTCTATATTTATTGAAAACAAAGATATAACATTTAATAATTGACATGAAACATAATTAATCTACAAGGGCTTGTGCAATTTATACCGAAAAACCTGCTTAATTTGCTGTTTGGTAGTACTTTGGAACAGGGGGATTACTATCATTTTGTACATCTTGGTATTCCTTAATCAAGAGTAAATAATTTAACGTATATTTCTCATTGCTGAATTTTTTAAATGTTAAAGTATGATATTTGTAATTTTTTAAAGTCCTAGCAGTCTATTTATTCTGGTAAACTGACATTGTAATACTAATCAATGTTTTATTTTATATCATCACAGCATCTTCTCTTACTTAATTTAAATTGAATACTCTAGAGAGTGGGCATCAGGTGGGCTTTGCGACTCGTATTTGCTAAGCTGATGTTTCTAAGTTCGAGTCCAGGCATAACACATTGAATTTTAATTAACATTAATACGGAAAAACATACTTTAAACTTGTTCTGACACCTCGTCCATGACACCCAACTAGTGGGTGTTGTAAAATAACTAATGAAAAAACTATTAATTAGATTGTCCGAAGTGTTTCTATTACTTAAAAAACAAACATAAATATTTATTAATTGGCTTGAAAAATCAATCATTTACAACTTCCTTTAATTTATACCAGACTAATAGTAAAACCTGCTGAATTTTGTCGTTTGACAATACTCCAAATATACCTTTTTCGTCTTGCAAATAATCGGAAACATGCTTAAATTTATTTTCTTCGACATGGGTAACTATGATTTTAAAGTCATGGAAATCTTTTAAGGTCTTTTTAGTCTAGCAAATTCAAACAGTCGTTAACGCTCATCGCCTCAATAATCATAAATAAATAATTATTTATAATACAAAATTGATAAGATTTAAAATATTTCCGGACATTTAGTGTCCATGACAAAATGTAACATGTTACATAAATGTATTTACAGATTAGACAACTTTTTCTCCTGTTATTTCATTATCTTAACAGTTTTATCTCGAATCATAATAAGTTTTAATACCAAAACACTTTCTTTTTACATCATTGGCTTCTATTTTTATTAGATATAATAGGAAATAACGGGGTTTTAAGTTATTATGGGATATTCAGTGCATTCGTGTTGAAATAATATGAGTTCGGAATGAAATATTTTATAAAAATGTATTTACATTGATAGATAAGATCTTTTGTATATTTGTTTTATTTATCGTAACCTCTTACTAGTCTTGTATTAAAAATCAGGGGTAAGGTCAGTTTGAATAAAAGAACAATCTCATCTTTTCATCAAGCTTCCGAAGAATACATCTCTTTCATCAGGACTTTGAAACTATTATTAATAACTATCCGGACTTTCTCCTGAAGGGTTGTCACTCCCCGATGTGCTGACCCTAGGGTCTTTCCTCTGGGGAGTTCACCTCCCAGCTGGGTCGTTCTTAAGCCAGATGCTCAGGAGATCGTCGCTTCCCAAGCAACGTGGTTAGGCTCCAACAGGACTGTCGACATCGTTCATTTCAGCCCCCAACGCATGCGAACTATAATCTAGCCTCATACTAACCAACATCTATAAGACATTCGCACACATTAATACATTCACAACTATGTACATTGCACTCATTCTGATTAGACGGTGGAGTACTCGATATTCCTCCATAGGCCTTCACACAATTAAACTAATTTAAGCTAAATTAAACTCTAATTTAAGAGTCGATGGAGTACTTTCATAAATATTCCGCCATCGACGCCAAACACACTGCTGGAGGAGCTGACGCTATATTTCATCATCAACCGAATTTAATTCGAAATAGACAAAACTGCTGAATTTTACTTTATGATAAATACTAAAAATATGCTTTAATATGCATTGGCCATGTGTTAGCTCCTCTGTTTGCTATGCACAACTTTGAAATAATCATGAGTCAATAATGATTCCTAAAGGCCATGAATAAAAATCGGTGAAGGTCTTGATAGTCCTTCTAAAAACAAAACAGAAAAATATGTTCAACTTGAAGCTACAGAA